GTTCTTCTAGCCACTCCAGGTTGGTCTGCTTGTCCTTTCAAGTGGGAATTTCCCATCTCTGGAGATCCGGATGTGGTTCAGGCTTCCACCTATAATCTTATGTATTGCAGAGGCTCCACAGGAAGCCTCCTTCACTGGGCACGTTGTAGCCCCATTTTAGGTATTCCAATCACTTATAGGCAGAGGACGGACTTACAAGCTTTCTATGGTGATGCTTTTCGCTATTCCTTTCTCTCCCCCTCCAGTGATAACCAATTCTTTTTGGTACTGTGACTCTGTGTACTCCTTCCATCATCTTTTGATGCTTCCTGTATTATTCAATATTTTGCCCATTGAGTCCTCCAATATTACAACCTGAGACTTAATTTTTTTTCTTAAGTTCTTTCAGCTTCCGAAATGCTGAGCATATTCTTTCCCTTTTGCTTTCTAACTCCAGATATTTACACATTTCATTATAATACTTTATTTTCTTGAGTTCCCTTTTGAAATTTTTGAAATGAAACTCTTTTATCTCATCATTTCTTCTATTCAATTTAGCTTCTCAATGTTCAAGATCCAGTTTCAGCCTCTTTTGATATCCATTTTGATATTTTCTTGCTTTGCTGTCTTTATAATGACCTTTTGCTTTCTTCATGTATGATGTTCTTGATGTCATCCCACAACTCTGTTTTGAGTAGTAAAAAGTTTGTTCCATGGTATATTAGCTTCCCTGCATGTCCTGCTTGTACAGGAATGGACACTAAGTAGATTTCACATTGTCTCATACCCCAACATGAGCAGCAAAGTCCAGCGCACAAGTAGAGGTTATGGAATTGTGCCTAGGTGGAGCTGGTCCACACAGAATTGATCACTAGAAAGTTTGTTGATATTGTTAGGTGCCATCAAGTCAGTACCGACTCATAATGACCCTATGCACAGCAGAATGAAACATTGAGGGCTAACCTCACAATTGTTGCCACACTTGAGCCCATTGATGCTGCCACTTTGCCAATCCATCTCGATGAGGGTCTTCCTCTTTTTCTCTGACCATCCACCTTACCACACATGATATCTCTCTCCAGTGACTGGTCCCTCCTGACAATATGTACAAAGTATGAGAGATGAAGTTTGGTCATCCTGGCCTCAAGGAGCACTCTGGCTGCACTTCTTCTAACACAAATCTATTTGTTCTTTTGGCAGTCCATGACACTTTCAATATTCTCCCGCAACACCATAACTCAAAAGCATCAAATCTTCTACGGTCTTCCTTAGTCACTGTCCAGCTTTCACATGCATATGAGGTTATTGAAAATACCATGGCTTGGGTCA